GAGGGATTTGGCAGATGCCACTATTTAACAACACTATTTGCTTCAAATTATTGATTTGATTACTTTTGATGGTTTTTTTTTTAACCCCTCAGTGTAATTGTTTCTTTTAAAATAGAAATGTATTTCACTTTTTTAACTGAATTTCATTTTACTCAGTAGTGCTGCTGGTTTTGTATGCATTTTAAGCAGCCACTCTTGTTTCCCAGACCACTCCAGCAAGTTCCCATTCCTTTATAATTGTCCTTATTTATTTTTTGTATGGTTGTTTCCCATATGAAACTAAATACTAAGATCTTCCATGACATCTTTTTATTAAGCTTGTCTTGTTGTTCATTTTTATTCACTGTAAAGAGAACAACACGGGCATAAAAATCGAGGAAGTGGGCTGTGATATGCTTGAATGAATCGACATTGAGAGAGAAGAGGTATTAACAGTTTTAGAAAGGTTTCAGTAGATATATCTCCAGGGTCAGATGAGATGTATCCCAGGCTGCTGTGGCAGGCAGTGCAGATTGCAAGGTCTCTTAAATTAACTTTAACTTTCAAATTCTCTTGGCGACAGGAGAGGTAATAGAGGACTGGAGGACAGCTAATGTGGTACTATAATTCAAGAATGGTTTTCGCGATTAAACCAGAAAACTACAGGCCAGTGAGCCTGATATTTGTTAGTGAAACTACTTGAAAAAAATTGAGGGACTGAGTTAAACCCTCTGGAGAGGTAAGGATTAATCCAGGGTAGTCAGCGTGGCATTGTAAGTGGGAGATCATGTCTTACAAATTTAATCAAATTTTCAGATAGGTGACTCGGTAGATGGGGGTAGTGAAGTTGATCGAGTCGACATGGATTTCAGCAAGGCTTTTGATAATAACAGATTTCTTAAGCTAAGAGTCCATGGGATCCAGGATAATTTTGGCAAATTGGATCCAAAATTGGCTGAGAGGTAAGAAGCAGAGGGTGATGGCCAAAAGGTGTTTTTGTGACTATAAACCTGTCGTCTTGTACCACAGGGTTTAATGCTGGGTCCCTTGCAGTTTGTTGTGTGCATTAATGATGTTGATGTTAATGTGATCAGTAAGATTGCAGATGACATGAAGATGAGCGGTTTCATAAAAAGCGAAGAACAAAGCCTTCAACTCGGACACTTCTCCCCTCCCCCAGCCCTTTTTACATGTATTTTTCTATATTTGTATGTTCTGTCCCATCCTGTCTCTCTCTGGGTGGTGTTATTCAAATAGCTGCCCCTTAAAGCTGCCATGCCCTTTTGCTTTGTAGGCATACATTTCCTGTCCCCTCTTTTGATAGATTCAAAGAATCATAGAATCTCAACTGTGCAGATGGGCCAAAAAGCCTCTTTCAAGTCTGTGTGTCAAACCTCCATGGAGCATTACCCCCCACCCCCACCCCATAACCCTACATTTACCATGGCGAACCCACTTAACCTGCACATGCCTGGACGCACTCTGGGGTAATTTAGCATGGCCCATCCACCTAGCCTGCATATCTGTGGGAGAAAAGTGGAGCACCTGGCAGAAACAGCCACACAAACACAATATGCAAACTCCACACTGTCACTGAAGGTTGGAATCAAACCTGGGTCCCTGGTGCTGGGAGGCAGCTATGTTAGCTATTGAGCCACCACGCTGCTCCCAAAATGTCTCATTGCACCATCTGCCACAGTGGGGATCTGACCCCCTTGCCTGAGCACTAGTCAAGCGACCTGGAATACTCAACCAGTGACATGACCATTAGAGCATACCCTTCAACTCTTCTCCACCAAGAAGAAGAAAAAAAGTTTAAAGCCCTCTCTAGAGTCCTAGTTATTGTACCACTGCCATGGTCAGTTCCTTCCTTTTTCCTGCAGTCCCTATTCTCAGCCTTAGAGATTGCAAGATCCTCATAACCATTGGACAGTTGTAGGCAATCTCTTGGGTTTCCATAAAAACTAAAAGAACTGCAGACGCTGTAAATCAGGAACAAAAACACATTGCTGGAAAAGCTCAGCAGGTCTGGCAGCATCTGCGAAGAGAAAATCTGAGTTAACGTTTTGGGACCGGTGACCTTTCCTCGGAACTGATGGTGGCTGGGAAAATGTCAGTTTATATGCAGAAAGTAGGGAGGGGGTTGGGGTAGGGAGTAAATGTTCAGTTAGAGCCTGAAGAGCAGTTGAACAGACAAAGGAGTCGATAACGATCTGGCTAGGAGGGTGAGTTGTTAATGGGGACTGTTAGTGACTAACAATAGGTAGTGTGTAATGGCAGGCTATGATAACAAGGCTTGATGTGTGTGGGGTAGGGGCTAGGATGTGGGAGAGTTGGTCCCTAAAATTATTGAACTTGAGATCGAATCTGGAGGGCTGCAGGGTCCCCAAGTGGAAAATGAGGTGGTGTTCTTCCAGTTTGCGTTTGAACTTTGCTGGAATACTGCAACAAGCCAGAGACACACATGTTGGCCAGGGAACAGAGTGGTACATTAAAGTGGCAGGCAACAGGTAGCTTGGGTTTTTTAATGAGAAAAATGTACATGTTCTGTGAAGCGATCACCCAGTCACCAATCTACACTTCGTTTCCCCAGTGTAGGGGAGACCGCAATGAGCTGCGAATGCAGTGTACTAGATTCTGGGAAGTGTAGGTGAAGTGTTGCTTCTCCTGGAAGGTATGTTTGGGCCATTGGATAGTGGGGAGGGAGGAGGTGCGTGGGCAGGTGTTACGCTTTTGCTGGTTGCAGGGGAAGGTGCCGTGGGCCATTACCGTCACCTCCAGTGAGATGCCGCCTCCTGACACATTTCCCCAACTGGTGACTGGGTGACTCTTTCACAGAACATCTACGTTTTTCTCGCAAAAAAGACCCTAAGCTACCTGTTGCCTGCCACTTCAACACACCACTTTGTTCCCTGGCCAACAAGCCTGTCTCTGTCTCTGGCTTGTTGCAGTGTTCCAGCGAAGCTCAACGCAAGCTAGAAGAACAACACCACATTTTCTGCTTGGGGACCCTGCAACCCTCCAGACTCGATATCAAGTTCTATAATTTCAGGGCCTGAACTCTCCTGTTTCCCAGCTCCCTACCCCACACACATTAGGCCTTTGTTATCACAGCCTGCCATTACATACCATCTGTTGTTCGTCACTAACAGTCCCCATTAACAACTACTCACTCTCCCAGCCAGATCGTTATCAACTCCTTTGTCTATCCAACTGGTCTTCTCTCTTTCCGGGCTCTATCCTATCATTATATTCCCTACCCCATTTTCTGCATATCAACTGATGTTTTCCAGCTATCATCAGTTCTGAGGAAGGATCACCGGGCCCGAAACATTAACTCTGATTTTCTCTTCACAGTTGCTGCCAGACCTGAGCTTTTCCAGCAACTTTGTTTTTGTTCTTGAGTGTCCATACTTGTTTTCCCTCAGCCACACCCTCCTGTCCTCGATCACTGACTAAATTTGAATTACTTGGTCTGAAGTTTGTGACTGCCCCTAGGGCCAGTGTCCAGGTAAGATTCCCCTTTCCTGATGTATCACACTGTCTACTGCTTGAACTCCTGCTGCTTACCTTGAAACTTGGTTCTTAGAATTGCCAACACTTAGTACATTTATGTTTTCTCTTGATCACCTTGGCGTCCAGCAGCTTCCATGTGCTGAAACGCAACATATCACCTGTCCTGCCATCACTATATGTATTGATTTAATTTGTAAACTAATTCCTTTTGATTCCTGCTCTTTATATTTCAATGTAGTATTTTAACTAAAGTTATCAGTATCAATCTAATACTTAACGAACTTTAGGAAAATAACAGTGAAGAACACGAGTCCTAGACCTAAACTGAAGACCTTACATTTACATACTTAAAAAAAAAATCACCAATCCAACTCACCGGTCAGCTGCTTACCCTGCATCTGCATCCCCTTCCAGTTCATAGCCTCACTGTGCCACTAGTCTCACTGCAGTTTGGTCTGTCTTTTATCCCATCCCACTCATCTCTTGTTTGGGAGCATTTATATCTTGCAGTGAATCTTAATGCAAAAGTCTGGGGGGGCGGGGTGTGGTGGAAACGCGGCGGTGTGGAGAGGTGTTAACTGAATTCCCCCTTGAACCAGATTTTCAATTCATTGTTATCGATGTTTCTATCGCTCAGTTGATGTCTCCTTAACACTGACCTTATGCACAGCTATGATTGTGATTTTAAAAATTGGATATCTACGTTCTTAAAGTGTATTAATAATGATTGCATTTCAGTTTTTAAGTTTTCCTGGTAATTGTTCAATTGCTAGTTGGGCACAGAAATAAAATTACCTTTTGAACAAATACACCACACATGCATGAACTTCCATATCACTCGCTCCGTATTTGAACTAATTGTGTAAACTGAGTAGACCTGATAGTATTGAGGGGTGCACTTTTCTTTTCTAAAAAAAAAAAAAAACTCCATTGAGGTTTTCAACTTTATGATTCAGACTGATTTTTCTGATAGTTTGGGTAGTTTTTATTCATGTTTTCTCCCTTGTAGTTAGCATATGCTTATAATTATTTTGGGAAAATTGCACCACCAGATGCAGCTTTTGGAATCCAGCATTGTCATTGGCGTTCAATCCTCTCAGGTTTTCATCTGCACTTCTTCAATGTTTCAGTCTTTTCAGGCAGATTGTGAGGTGATTTATTTTGTTCAAACAGATATTAGAATTAAAATTGTGGACTATTCTTTGTGCATGTTCTATTATTTTGAAGCAAATGGGATTAACTTAAACTGTTCAGTGACCAGTATGACACTGCTGCAGGGTAAAACATCCCCAGCTATTCTTTGTTTTTGTCTCGAATTGAACTGCTTCATTTCAGTTTGTACAAAGTACAGCTAAAGTTCATCATGTACATTCTTTTGTCGTACGCATGATGAAAGTTGGCATATTAAAAGACTGAATTCTAGCCAAGTTTTTTTTAAAACTATTGCTTAATGCAGTTGATGATTTTCATGTGAACTCTTTTTATTTGATGTCTTTGTTCTGTAGGTTTTTTGTGCAGCATGTTGCAGTCTGAAATGCAAACTAAATTATATGGACATGAAAGAGGCTCGAGTTTGTGTAACTTGCCATACTGTCCTTACTAGTTGTAAGTAACTTCCCTTTTTTTTTTGACCATGACGTGCTTGGAGGGTTAAAATCATAAAATAAGCCATGCAAACCTTATTTTGTTGTTTAAACATTTGATATAATAGTCATTAAGTAATTGTGCTTTCTTTCTTAAAGTAGTATCTTGAGTAATGCAATACTTCATACAATTTGGGGGTGTTTTCTCATTTCATTATGATGATGTGTTCTCTGCCACTGCAGTGCTACAGGAAACTTGTGCTACTGACATCATTGATGTGTGCTGGGTGCTCAAAGTCATTGCTCAGTCTGCCTGTCAGCGTATGCACAGTGACACTGATGGTCATGTGCCCAAGGAAAGCTTGCACCATGTTGCATTTGCTTCTAGTTCCTGTTTCCTTTTGTCCCCTCCATTGGCGCTTTACTGCTTGCTGTGGTTGTCATGCTGCTTGGGGAATGGTAAATGACAATGGAACAAAGCAGCAAGTTGGATGGAAGTACTGCAGTCTAAGAGTAGCATGGACAAGTGTTGGAAGTGGAGCAGTGAGAATGTCACAATCCCAGGATTTTAATTGATGAAAAATATCTAAAACTAATTCTTTTTTAATTTGTCCTATTCTTTGCCGCAGGTAACAGCTTGTGTCATCACTTAACAGTAATGCCACAGACACTGACTGTGTTGTGGTTGCCTTGTAGCCATAGGTCATACAGTTAGATCATGGCTGATAAGTATTTTGTCTCTACTTATCCATTTTTCCCTATCTCTTGATTAATGATTCTATCAATCTCAGTCTTGAAAATTTCAATTGATCTTGCATCCGAAGCCTTTTGGGGGAGAGGAGACACTTGAAAGATTGCACTGCACATTGTGAATATTCTCACATCTTGTTTCACACCTGAATGATTTGGGCTGTGATTTTATGCCTATGCCCTTTTATTTTGGTGTCCCACATCATTTTAGTCTGGAGCATTGTGAACAATAAAAGTCCATGAGTCTTGCTCTGAAGTGAAGTCATACTGGACTCAAATCATTAACTATATTTCTCTCCCCACAGATGATATTGGACTTGCTGAGTTTCTCTAGCATTTTGTTTGTTACTGTCAGCAATATAGGCCAGCATACTTCAGGAAAGATGTGCAGATTTTAAAGAATGTAAAAGGGTTTTATCAGATGTTCTAGACAATGAGGGAGCTCAGTTATGGTGGAAGATTGGAAAACTTAGCGTTGTTTTACATTGTAATGGAGAAGTTGACCTAATTAAGGTTTCAAGGTGATGCGTTTTGCTGGAATAAATAGGGATGATAATCTGATGAGTGGACCAATAACTAGAGGTCATAGAAACAGAATAATTCAGAAGCGAACTAGAGCCGGGAGTTTTGTTTTTCCAATATGTTATCAGGATCTGAAACACATGACCAGGGAAGGTAGTAAAAGATGATTCCCTAGATTAATTTGAAAGGTACTTGATGATTAAGATAACAGCCAAAAAAAAGGGGGTGCGGAATGAAGCAACACTCTTTGAAAGAGCTTGCACAAGCGTGATCAACCAATTGCTGATATGAATGTCTCTTTATGCCTGTTTTTTTCATTGAGAAGCAACTTGTTTAGAACATGTGCCAACCTTTACATTTTTGATGGATACTGCTTTGTTAGTTCATTAGAGTATAGAAAGATGATGGGCAATCTAATTGAAATGCACAGGATTCCGAGGGGGCTTGACTAAGTAGACATTTGAGAAGCTGTTTCTGCTAGTGGAGGGTGGTGGTTTTTTGAACTAGGGGACAAAACTAGAGAATAAGGGTAAGCAAAAACCTAGTGATATAACTGCTAGATTATTAATCCAGCAACTCAATCTGTTGGGAACCCAGGTTCGAATCCCAATATCCTACAGCAGACAGTGGAATTTGAATTCCAGTTTTTAAAAAAAAAAAAAAAATGGAATTAAGTCACTATCTGCGTCATGTTTTTGAAGCCTTTCACACTTAGAAAATAGTTTACATCTCTATCTTCCTACCAAGTGCATAACCCCATACTTGAACATGCATGCATTCCATCTGCTATTTCTTTGCCCACTCTCCTAGCCTGTCCAAGTCTTTCTGCTGCCTCCCTGCTACCTCAACACTACCTGACCCTCCACCTATCTTTTGTGTCATTCGCAAACTAGGGGGAGTCAATAGCCTATAGGTATTATTGCTGGGTTGTTAATCCAGAGATCCAGGTAATGTTCTGGGCACCTGGGTTCAAATCTTGCCACGGTATCTGCTGGAATTTGAATTCAGAAATATCTGCAGTTGAGAGTCTGACCATGAATCCATTTGCCAGTTGTCAGAAAAGCCAATCTGGTTCGCCAATGTCCCTTTAGGGAAGGAAACTGCTGTCCTTACCTGGTCTGGCCTACATGTGACTCCAGACTCTCAGCCATGTGGCTGATTCATGACTGCCCTCTGGGCAATAATGCTGGTCTAACCAGCGATGCCCTTGTTCCCATGAATGAATAAAGGGAGGAAAAAAAAAGAAACTTAGCAACAATGCCCTCCATTCCTTCACCTCGATACATAATGTATCGTTATGGACCAGACCAAACACCCTCAAAATATATTAAGAAGATAGCCTCGACCCAACTTCTCTTATTTTAATGGCAAGAGTCAGGCATTGCATTCTGGATGGGATTTGCTCGGTCAAACTACCAGACTTGAAGCAAAACACACTTTGTTGTATATTAGCTACTGCATATGAATTTAAAAAAAGGAATTGAAATAACAACTCAATCGGAAAACTTAATAAGTTGTTTAACTACTAAACCGTAACTAGTCCAATATACTAACATCCCATAAACATGCCCTTGGCAAAGGCAAATGCAGTAAAGCAGATTGTCTCACATGCAATTCTCCAGTACAGGAGGAAAAACACCAAGAAAACTAGGAGAGAGAGTAGCAAGGAGAGATGTACTGCAACTTCCAAACCCACATTCAAGACCCCATCCACAACTGCTGCTGAAAAACTAAAAATCCTGGTTCTGTGGGAGCCTGATCCCCACCCATTCAGACTGCTTCTATTGTTCCAACTTTAAAAAAAGCCAAGGCGCCTCAAGACAGCTCAGTACCTCTATCTTTAAAACCTCTCTTCAAAAGAAAACCGGACAAAATATACCTCTTAAAGCCATTGTATTGTCACACTATAATTTGAATAGTTGTGGTCCTGACACTGACCCCTGTGGAACTCGACTACTCACCAGCTGCCATTCTGACAAAGGCCCCTTCATCCCTACTCTCTGCCTTCTGCCAGTCAGCAATCATGTATCTGTGCCATACCTTGCCCCTAACTCCATGGGCTCTTACCGTATCAGTAGCCCGCTGTGCGGCACCTTGTCATAAGGCCTTATGGAAATCCATACGGATCATATCCGATGGCTCTCCTTTTGTCTAACTTGCTTGTTACCACCTCCAAAGAATTCGACCTGATTTGTCAGGCTTGACCTCCCCTTGCTGACGCCATGCTAACTCAGCCTTATTTTACCAAGCACTTGCAAATACAGTGAACATTTTATTAACTGGCACCCGTGGGACCAGGAGTGTACCAAATGATCCGCATGATCAATGTAAAAATGCACACTCAATAGTAGAAACGTAAATGCCCAGGGGGTGTACTTCACTTGCAGCATAAAGCACCTAAATAAAACTTATTGGCAGCCAGCCTGCTCCCTCACACTCTCGACTCATGACTTGGAAGTTGTGAAGGGCACGATAATGCAGTAAATGTACAGTATTTCAGGTATACAAATTTTGCCAGTTTATCAAGAGTGCAGGTCCATTCGGTGTTGGTTAAAACAAAATTTGCTGTAATTACAATTTCATTCTTCATAATGGTCTCTAAAAATCCTACTAACAGCTGAGATCAGGCTAACCAGTGTACAGTTCCCTGTGTTCTGCTTGCCTCACTTGTTAAACAGGAATGTTACATAAGCCATTTTCCAGTCCTTTGGAACCCTCCCTCACTCCGTTGATTCCTGGGAGGGGAAAAAAAAATCTCTCTACGATCTTCTCAACTATCTCTTTCAGAACTCTGGGGTGTAGTCCATCTGGTAATGGATGATTTATCCCCCTTCAGACCTTTCAGCTTCCCAGCAGCTTTTGTTCACCAGTTTATTATACTTGCACTTAGTTATAATTATCCTTTCTTACTGAGATCATAAACATTTCTGACTCGTTGATCACAGTCCCCTAAATGTTCTCCCACTGACAGATGGGCCAAGTCGATCCACTCCTTCCCAAGGACCAAGTACAGCAATGCCTTCTTTTCCTCTTGGACTTGTCGCATACTGCTATGGGAAATTCTCTTGAACACGGTCTGAAAATACTTGGTTCTCTGTGCATTAATTACCACTATCCCAGTCTGTGTATTCAGGTATTTTTAAGTTTCACATTATACCTACTCTAAAATGCTTGCACCTCTCTGTAATTTCCTTGCAGACTTAATCCTCCTAATCCTTCCTGCCGGTTGGTGGTCGGCAGACCACCTTCACCAGTGTAATTGCACCCTCCTTCCTTGGCTTCAGCCAAATCAGTTATGTCCTTAAACTTACTGGGTTTCCCTTTTTCTTCAGTGCTGCTTTTAACCAAAGCTGCGATCCTTCCTCCTTTTCTTCCTTTCCTGAACACCTTGTAACCAGGAATATTTAATACCCAGGTCTCAACATCATAGTTCCACGTGGCAATTCGTACATGAAACTCTCCAGTCTTATTCTCGTACATGGATGTAGTGTAGCTTTGACTTAGAAAGTTTTAGCTTTGCCATTATTGTGACGCCAGTGATTAATTTACTGTTCTCTATTCTAGTGCTTTCTCTCTGAATATTGTGTGCGTGCCCTGATTATTCTTTAATTCACAAATGGGATGAGGGCGTCGCTGGCTAGGCAGCATTTATTGTCTATCCCTAATTGCCCAGAGGGCAGTTGAGTCAACCACATTGCTGTGGGGTCTGGAGTCACATGTAGGCTGGACCAGGTAAGGATGACAGTTTCT